ACCTAGATACATCTTATACTCTCCCATAAATACAGACATCATTATCAATGGACCACATAGCACAGCTTATAACATCCAAAATACATTCACCTGCACCTCTACCAATATCATATATGCCATCACCATTTTACAGTGTCATATCGTCCAGATCAGACAGATGGGCAATCCCTACATGAAAGAGTGAGGGGAAAATTGATCTAACATCAAGTCCAAAAACACAAAAAAGCACAAAAGTCTGTGTCAGAACATTTTAACCTTTCTGGACATTCCACCACAGACCTCAAAATGGCTGTTCTTATAAGCAAAACTTCAAAAGCTGACTAGAATGTGAAACTGCAGAACAAGAACCAGCCACAAACTAGATTGTGTTAAGTATGACTTAATGAGGGAGTACAGGTTTATATCCCATTTCCTGGATTGGATTAGGTTTTGAGGCCCCTTCATCCCTAAGAGTTTATGTCCTATGTGATTCTTTCTTCCTTTCCCCTCTCTCCCCTGCCTTTTGTATGCAGATCACTCTATTTGATAGCTTGCTCTGTACATGCCTTTTCATAGCATCTGATGAAGTGAGCTCTGACTCAAGAAAGTTTCCGCATCTCTGATTTAATTAGTTTCAAGATACATCTTTATCCTACCTTAAAAAAAATGAATACATTCAAAATTTAACATTCTGTCGTATGTATTCAAATATGTGCTCACCTTAATAGACTGGTATGCTGGAGAGCTGCATTCTACTCATAGATTCATATTGATATATGACCTATGACAAATCAATTTACCTGTCTGTTCAATCTTTCATCTATCTACTTAAACCATAAACTGGTTCATAATATGTTTTTAGACTACCTGGTCCAGGGGTGTTGAACCCCTGGCCAATGGGCCAAATCTAACCCATGGAGCTATTGTATCTGGCCCACAGGGCTCCCCACAGGTCACAAAACTTGGCAGAGGAGGAGCAGTGGCAATTCATACCACCAAACTCTGTCCCACTGACAAATCTCCCAAGTCCCATGGCAGTTTTATGGCCAAGTCATCCCCTACCTCCAGGCCAGATCAAGCCAGGTCAAGCTCCCTTCCCCCCATGTGGCCAGACTGGAACCTGGCCATGCCTCATTCACTTCCCTCCCTCCTCCCAG